TGATAGATGGATTATTTTTAATCTTTTTTCTTCTTTTGAAGCATCATTACATGTGGCAAAATCAATAGATCTGAAATGTATGGTTCAATGAATTTGACAAATGTATGTACTAGTGTAACCTACATCCCATCACCCTAGAAAGTTCCCTCATGCCCCTTTTCAGTCAATTACATCCCTCTGCCCTAGAAACAACCATGGTTGATTTCCATCCCCCTTGTAGCCTGGGTTTGGACTTAGTGGACTTGCGATCTGTAACTGTGGTCTTAGGTCATCTGGACAAATCAGCAAGAAAATCTCATCAGCAGCTCAGATGTCTCCACTTTCTTAGTGCTGCACAAGGTCCTTCCCCTGAGCTGCCAGTGCTTGGCTCCTCTGCCCCCAGTGTGCCATCTGACCCCCCAGGGCTACCCTCTGAACCACAGCCCTTCTCCCAGTCAAAGAGGTTAGCACCTGTCTCCCAGGTAAGTGAGTGGCGAAGCTCTTGGTAATGGTGATGGTGCATGCTTTGTTGATTAATACTGGGACGTGCAATGCACAGAGCCACGGCATGTCAAGCAGCATGTTGATTTTTCCCAAAGCACCGTACAAAAGGGAGCTCTTCCTTTTGCGCATTTCGTTTTAGAAACAAAGGATTCCATGACCATCTTCTTCCAGGCTTCTAGCCATCAAGATGGCTGCAAAGCTGAAATGATTAGTCAGCGTGGAGGCTGAGAATTGAATGTGTGGGTGTTTGTGATCCCAGCCCTGAGCCCGTGGTCCATGAAATTGAAGGATCCCAAATTCTATTGGATTAAACTTAGCCAAATGTCTCGAAGGTGAAAAGCGCTTTGTCTGAATGCAAAGCTTTGGTGTCTCTGGAATGTACCTTCTGCAGCTCAGTTCTTAATCACCGTATATTTTTTTCACTTGGACAAAGGCTGCTGGCTAATAGCATTTTCAACCACCTTCAGCTGCTTCACTCAACTACGCCAAGGCCTCAGGCTGAGCTGGTAGCAGTTTCCTGGCACCATGATCCATTCCCAACTGACCAGCATTGAGGAACAGCACACATTCACACCCTGAAAAAACACCTGCCCCCTGTAACTATGCAAGATGCCAGGCAGAGGCAGAATTACTACTCCCCTCCCTAAGTGTCTCCTGCAACCCATCCAAACTGGAGGATGGGAGTGAAGAGGAGGGAGGAAAGAGCCCTAGATGGTGCAGGGCAGGAACTCTCCTCTCTTTCTGGGGAAAGCAGGTAGCTAGGAGCTCCCAGCAAGCCCATAGCAGCACAGACCTTGAAGCAGCTTATCTCTGAACACCTCTGCTGTCAGATTTCACTTTGATCCCTGAAAATTACAAGAACCTCAGCTCTTCAGAAGAGAGGCAGCTGCTGAGCCAGGGTGATTGCAGGATTTCTTTCCCCCAAGCCGGAGGGCAGGCATCTAGCCTTGCCTGCGTCCTGCATGAGTAACCACCTTCCAGCCTCACCCACGAGGTCACTGCTTAGTGAACTGATTGCGGCTGGGCTGGGCTGCTCCTGGGTCGACCTAAATACTCACGACCTCCTTTAGCAGCAGAACTGGCGTTTGGTAAATGTGTGAGTGCAGGAGCGGGCAAGGGAGGCAAAAAAATGCCAAGGAGCACCACCTGGATGGCTAGAAGTTGGGCACATTCTCCAGGCTGGTCAGCTGTACCCCACTCCTCACCCATGAAGCCCCGAGCCGTGGAAGCAGCTGGGGGAGGGGAGGGGAGGGATGAATGGGCTGGCCACAGGTCTTTGGAGTCAGAGCTGTGAGGCTGAGCTCCAGGACTTAGGCAAGAAGAGATTAATTAGCGCCTTCCAGCCCAGCCAGATCTATAGAACAGGGAGGTGTGGAGGGTAGGGATCCTCAGGGCTAAATTCACCTCAAACAGACAGACACACAGTCATCCAGAAATAGAATCTCTAACCTCTCTCAGCCACAGCCCCCTTTCCAGTCAAACTGACCTCACTAATGAGAATGAAGCTGTAATGAGGATTTGGATGCCTGGTAAACCTCATCTTCTTTGTCTCTGGGCTTTTACCATACCCACTGGCAACAGACTGTTATAATTCAGAAGCTTTAGTGATTCCTTTTGTTCACAACCACCAGCTAAATCAGAGTCGCGAAGGCCACTGTATGGCAGACCTGTAACATATATATTTGGGTACTCGATATGGAATGTGTGGCTCTGGTGGAGATGGGATGGAAAGAGAAGGGAGGAGCTGGTATTTGGTGTGTGGATTCCATAGCAATAAGCAATACCCAAGAGGAAAGTAGCCTTTGTTTCCTCTGAGCAAGGATGGACAAGGGTGAAAGGGACTGGGGAGGTTTGGTAGAGGCCCCCAGACTGGAAACCTCTGGATTCATCAGTCTCTATTTCCCTGTGCTTCCTGTCTTCAGGGGAGCTTCCCCGATGGCTCAGCAGTTAAGAATCCACCTGCACTGCAGGAGACACAGTTTCAATCCCTGGGTTGGGAAGATCCCCTGGAGGAGAATATAGCAACCTGCTCCAGTATGCTTGCCTGGAAAATCCCACGACCAGAGGAGCCTGGCAGGCTACAATCCATGGGGTCGCACAGAGTCAGACATGACTGAGCGACTGAGCAGGCATGCACGCACCTGCCTTCAGGCCTGCATGGAGAAGGCACAGTCCCAGGTGACCACCTGGATGACAAATGCCTCCAACTCCGTGTAAGAAAGGACAGTCAAAAAAGTCCCCACTACATATGTGCTTAGAACCAGGCTAGAGGGAGTCCTTGCAGGTCAGCTTTTGCCACCTATAAGCTATTGTTGTACCTAACCCACTCCACACAGAGGAGTAGCCATTCTGCTTTTAGTGATTTGCAAGAACTGGCACTTGAAACCCTCTAGGATTAAAAAAAAAAAAATCTGATTTAAAAAATCCTTTAACCTAGTATAAATGTATCCGGCTGCAGGCTAAGTTTAGTGTATCTGAAGATTCAGATAAGGTTGCTGATGGGGAGATTTTGTGTGTGTCTGTGTGTGTGTGTGTGTGTGTGTGTGTGTGTGTGTGAAGACAGAGGAGGAAAAACAAAAGAAAAGTGCTGTCTAACGAGCAAAAATGAGTGAAAGGGGGGGAAACAGAGCAAAGGGGAGGTAGATGCAGACTCTCCAACTGTGCCTGAGGGTGTTTCCATTTCTGGACAAGCTCCCATCCGAGCCATCGGAATTCTCAAAGTCAAGCTGGCACGTCCCTCTGTGGAGAGCTTAGCCAGATGACACATTGTCTTGCGTCCGGCAAACTCACAGCCTGTATTGTTCGTTTGTTGGAAATGCCCATTATTGGTCAATTCATCAATCAGCAGGTTTATTGAGTACCCTACCAGGCTTCACAAACCTGATCAATTTTTTTTAATTACATCCAGCAGACATGTAGCCAAGCCCCGTAAACAAGACGAGCCCTCACATCCCACTTGGAAATGAACATGAGGAATTGTCGGCCCTGGCAACCTCACGCTGCCAAACGCTGCAGCACATGCTGACGAGCAAGCGCGTGCTATCCTCGCAGACCCTCGCTACCCTTGCTGGTGTCACTGACCCACTGTCAATAATAAGATGGGTTCTGAGTGTTTTCTCAGACACAGCAATCCATCTGCTTGGGTCCAGCCATAGTGTCATCTAAACCCCTGTGTAATGCTATGGATTTCAATGGAGGGTGAGCAGGGGCTGGGTTCAGACTATGGCTGGGAAACAAGCAGGGGACTGAGCCTTGCTCATCATCCTCCTGGTGTCCAGCCCCACATCAGAGGCTCCGCAGCTGCCTCCTTCTGGGCACGTGAACAACTGGCCTTTCTCAGGGGGCCTCTATGCCCCATGTACCGAGACTCATGGTAGAGTGAGTCTTTTTTTTCTTCCCAAAAGAACAAGAACAGCTATGTAGTTAGTAAGTGAAGGGCTGGTAAGACTTCCTGAAGTGGAATCATCAAGGTCAGCCTGGAGACAAACAGGAGCTCACTGTCCTGTGTCCTGTAGCCCAGGCCCCAAGCCTTGGCAGATACCCCCAGACTGTCCCAGTCCCAGAACTGGTCATCAAGAGGACCCAAGAAGAGGGAATTCCTTGGGGATCCAGGGGTTAGGACTCTGTGCTTCCACTGCAGGGGGGGCTGGATTCAATCCCTGGTCAGGGACTAAGATCCTACAAACTGCATAGTGCAGCCAAAATAAGTGAAAAGTAAAGTTTTGATTAAAAAAAAAAAAAAGATCAGGGACTTTCCTAGGGTTCTGTTAGCTAAGAGTCCATGCTCCCAATGCAGGGGGCCCAGGTTCAATCCCTGGTCAGGGGACTATTAATAGATTCCACATACTGCAACCAAGACCCAGCACAGCCAAATAAAAATAAATTTAAAAAAAAAATTTTTTTTAAGGGATCCAAGGAGAGCTCAATCCTGTGTTTCAAATATAATTCCTTCTGTCTTCTTCAGACTAGTTAACTCATTAGTTCCAAGTCACCCAGATCCTTAGCCATCGTCTGCTTGGGCCAACCCAACCCCTCGGTCTTACTAGTCCCCTGGCCAACCTTTCCTTCCTCACTTGGATAGAATCAAGTTCAGAGGCAACCCACAGGCATTAAGAGATACTCCAAGGGTTGAAATTCCTGGTTGGGGTAAGTAAAATCCCCACACACTCAAAAGAGGACCAACAGCACACCCTCACCCTCTAACCTGGTCCCCCCCGTGGGCTGGTTGTCCAACTGCGGTTAAGTCTCCCAAACCCGGAGATCAGAGGGGTTGGTGAGCTGAGTGGTCTGGCCTCCGCGGCTCATGCAACAATTAACCCACCTATCCGGCTCTCTGTGTCTGTCCTGTGCGCGCGCGTGTGTGTGTGCGTGCGTGCGTGTGTGCGTGCGTGTGGTGCCCTCTGTCATTGTCTCTGCAGGGAAAGTCACTGGCGGGCAAGCGCCTCACCGGCCTGATGCAGTCCTCCTGACGGTCCCCACCGCAGGGCCCGGGCCCGAGGACCACGCGGGCAGCCGGCGGCGCTCCACGTCCGCGGACAGAGCATCCCTGCGGGGAGATTTGGTCACTGTGAAGGAGAAGGAGTGAGGGCCAGGCCACGGTGGGGAGACCGTGGTGTGTGAACCAGAGGGAGGCCAGAGAGAGCCCTCGGAGGCTGGGGTTGGCCGGGCAGAGGCCCCTGTTTACAACCCCCTCTCCTTGTACAGTCGTGTGCCGGCGCCTCGCTCTGTAGGAGGTCCCAGTCCCTCACGTGTTCTGGGGAGAGTGCCCGGTGGGGCTCCTGCCGTGACTGTCCCCTGAGGTTCCATTCTGACTATCATCACTCCTCCCCGCTGTCTGGGGGATCACGCCTTCCAGCAAACTCGAGGGGACCCGCCGCCCCCAAGCACATTCAGTATTACAAATACAACCCACCGCCTGTGGTGCACCCGTGGCGCCTGCCCCAGTCACACCACTGTGTCCCAACTGCCTCCCGCCTGCCGATCGCTGCGGCCACCATGACTGTCCCCTGAGGTTCCATTCTGACTATCATCACTCCTCCCCGCTGTCTGGGGGATCACGCCTTCCAGAAAACTCGAGGGGACCCGCCGCCCCCAAGCACATTCAGTATTACAAATACAACCCACCGCCTGTGGTGCACCCGTGGCGCCCGCCCCAGTCACACCACTGTGTCCCAACTGCCTCCCGCCTGCCGATCGCTGCGGCCACCACGTGTAAGGAGCTGGACCAGGCTGCCCTCACACCACGCCCCCGTCCCCCGGTCACACCATCAGCCGCCTCGTGGATCGCAGCACCTCACGTTCTTCCAACCCCCTTTGAGGCCACCTTTCAAAGGGGTCACCACAAGGCACTGGAGGCTGCCCCTGCTCCTGTCAACCGTCTTGAGGGTCCAACACCAGAGGAGGCATTGATGTCAATGAAAGAGCTTGTGATTCAACACCCCTGAAGGTCCTGACCGTCTTTTAAAATTTTGATTATTTCATAATTTATTCTGTTATGGCCCCTCGCTCCTTGGTGTGTCCCCACGTGTCTTACTGAAAATAAATGTGGCGGTGAACTTGGGGGCCCTTGGGATCCTCCCCTCCAACAGCCCCACGTGGGAGCTGGGGCATTCAGGCTGGCAGTCCTGGACGTGGCCGGGTCCCCAAGGCCAGGTCTCAGTTGTGTCCAAAACCTGTGCCCGGGGGGAGGCCAGGGCCCATTGGTCCTCTGATGGCCTAGCAAAGGCACTGTCCTCCACAATGTCCATGATCATGGAGAAACGCAAGCACAGAGCTCAACCTGTAAACACCTACCTAAGGTCCACTTGTGTGTGTCAGAATGACCATCTGCCAACTTGGCGGCGAGGGAGTCATGCGGAGCATGGAGTCAGGTGCCTGGTGCACAGTAGGTGCTTGGCAAATGGTAGCTCTTACTCTCATTGTTGTCACTGTCATTACTGTGACTCCCATGAGCCCTCGGACAGAGCGGTTATAAGCCATGTGCTTTTGAATTCAGACACTCACCCACCCCACCCCCATACCCCCCACTGCTATGACCATCTTCCTTTGATCTATTTTGGCCAGAGGTAGAAAATATCCTTCAAGAGTGTATAAACAGCAAACACAGAAGCAAAACAGTGATCACTGGTATTTCTTTACTTATGTGGGCAGATTCACCAGCTGGTGGGTCTCATAAGCTTGTTTGCAGGCGCTGCCTCCTGAGTGCTCCCCTAGGACCACCTTTCCAAGCCCACCTTTGTGCTGTGTCCCCAGGGCACCAGCTTCCATCCCTCACAGCAGGGCCACCAAGGGCATGAGGGGTCGTGATCATGGTGGCACCCCAGCCGGGTCTTGAGCCCCGCACCTCGGTTTCCCCCATGGCAGTAGTGGCTCTCTTTTAGAGTTACAGTGGAAATTAGAGACATTCTGTTTCATCCTCAGAGTGTCTCCAAGGGGGTGCTATACACCCAAGTTCCCGGCAGACACTCCCTGCAACCCTTGCTCATTCCAGGAGACCTGGACACAAAACCTGGCATCTGGCAGACACCGGGCAACTGCTTGATGAGGAAATGAGTTCCCTGAAGCCTTTCCCATGTTGCAGGGTCTGCTGACGCCCTCCTCTCTTCATCACATGCTTCTGAATCCCCTTGCTTTTCACACTGATCTCCTCTTTCAGAGCAGAACTGCTGCTCAGGCTTCCCTGCACTCAACATTGTCCCAAGGAAGCAGCTCCTGCCAAGGTGCCGGCATCCATGCTGACACTGAGGCACAGGGTCTGTGGACACCGGCAGGTCTAGAACAGCAGGTCCCTCTGTGCCCTTAGCTATCCCGGGCAAGATCCCGGCTGCCTCCTGTCCTTCCTCCTGGCTGTAGTCGGGGCCTGGGTGGTCTCCCTGGCCAGGATGTCGGTGCCATCCAGCTGAGGTTCCTGAGGCTTCACCTACCCTAGAGCTCCCCAGAAGGGTCAGAGGCAGGTGAACTGCAGCCCTGAGAGGAAGCAGGCTGAAGGCATCCTGACATCTCCGGGGACAACCCGCAGGCCTGATAGACGTGAAGGCACTTTCGGATGGATTCAAACCCAGAGCAATAACCCCCTTATCCTGCCTCCCAACCAAGGCACACTCTGTCTTGTGACCACCATCACGTGCCACCCACCCCCCCAAGCAGGTCACACCCAGAAATGGGATAGAGAGCAGGATTGTGCCACCCAAGCTGGCTAGTCCAAGGGCAGCCTACCCAAACTAGTTCACCTAGGCTGGGCACTTAGTCCAGGGACAGTCTACCATACAGACCTTAGAATGCAAGTACACTTAGAAAAAGTTTCCCAGGTGACATTAGGTAAAGAAGCCAGGCAGGTAAAGAACCTGCCTGCCAGTGCAGGAGACATAAGAGACATGAGTTCAATCCCTGGGTTGGGAAGATCCCCTGGAGGAGGACCTGGCAACCCAGTCCAGTATTCTTGCTGGAGAAATCCCATGGACAGCCTGGAAGGCTATAGTCCATAGGGTCGCATAGAGTCGGACACGACTGAAGCAACTCAGCACACACACTTGGAAAATCTGGTCTTGGCCAGTTCCCCATTGGTTTGGTTGACAGAACCAAAAATTCAGACCCAGATTAAACTTTTGAAGGAGTTCAGTTCAGTCACTCAGTCGTGTCTGACTCTTTGTGACGCCATGGACTGCAGCACGCCAAGCTTCCCTGTCTATCACCAACTCCCGGAAATTCTGTAGCAAAACAAACTTTGCTTTTTTTTTGCCCTGTCTTGCCTTAGTTGCCCTGACTGGGCATGGTCTCTGGGTCTGGAACTCTTCCTGATTTGGGCTCACAGGGCAGATACCATGTCAGCAGCCCCACAGCCAAAGCATCAGGGCTGTCTTAGAAGTGACCACCCACCCGTCGAGGCAGACACATAGGCGCCAGGCACTGGGCAGCTGACTAACATAGACTTTGCCTGTATGGGAAGAGTCAAGCTTGTAGATTGGCATGGGTAAATGCCCAGCAGCAGCCAGAGGGCCTGAGCAGAGCAGCAGGAGCTGCCTGGTCAGAGGAGAGGGCTTCTGCTTTTCCAGGAAGGGATGCTCTGTCCTGCTGGGAAGGGGTTGCTATGCCCCAGGAATTTAGCAAAGCTGAGCCCACCAGGGCCATCAGAGGCACTATGCTCCAGGGCCACCCCTTCCAAGGGTACAGGCCAGCACCTGGGAGGGGCCTCTTCACACTCCACGTTGCTTCTCTGAGCAGTGAATCACATGGGGACGTGCTCTGGGGGCCTTCCCTATAGCGAGGTTCCTGTTGTGTTCAAACTACCTCACCAACAGGGCGTGACCCAGGAGCCTGCCACCCATCTGGCTCCTCGTTTGGTTGTAGAAGTTGATCCTTTTCCTAAAACTCAACCCTCTTATGATGCTTCAAGTGCATGGGCTTCAAAAGCCACCACTAGGAAGTTGTCCCAAAAGCCCAGAAAAGACTGCTGGTCTTTGAGTCTGCACGGGAGGTCTTCCAGCAATGTCCAGGAGCTGAAAAGTCCCGGGGGGAAAGTAACATGTCACCACCCCCCAAAAGGGCTGGCTGAGCTGAATATGTAGCAAGGACCGTGTGTGGCACACTCCAATTGTGGCCAAATGAATCCCTGAGAACTCACCACGGGGCCCTCTGAAGAGAGGGCTGTGCTTATGTAACCATGGCAACGGCAGATGCCAGCAGTCTACTCCTTAGTACCACCCACTGATAAGGCAGCCCCCTGGGCATAGCCCAGGGGCCATAACGTAGCAAAGTAGCAAATGTAGCAATAAGGGGCCCGGGTCATAAGGGACTGGGTCCACACGACCCGGCCTCGGCCCCCCCCCAAGTCCCTCGTGAGGGCTTAGAGCCAGCTGCTGTCAGCTGTCCGAGGAGGGAGGCCCTGCGCCCCGCCGAGCGTGCCCGGTCTATATTCTCTGCCCACTCACCGCATGATCACGGACACGTCGGCATGGCCTTCTCATAGTGCATGCGGTTCTCATTAGTTTATTTTTCTGGAATTTGGGGATTGGACCCCAGAACCAAACATGCTGGTACCGTCTACAAATAAATGACTTGAACCCACTATAACCCAGCTAACTGTGTGGCTCCTTGGTTTGGGGGTTTCTCGGGCAGGATTTACCACTAGAAAAATATCTACCACCCCTCCCCACTCCCCCATGCCTGCTCCCACCCTGCCCCAGTACACACACACACACACACACACACAGCCTGTTTTCCCAAGCAGGATGGTGAGAAGCTCTGGGGTGGGGAATATCTCCTGGTAGTGTCACAGGAAGGCTTAAATGCCCCTCACTCTGCCGGGGAGTCCTTGGCTTAGTGGACTCTACGCCCCATTGTCTATGCCCGACCATAAATCTCAGTGGCCTGGTGAGCATCAGCAGTGGCCAGACACCAATCTGACTTTCTTAAATGAAGTCCCAAGACGGAAGTCTGTTACACACGGATGGGGATCTTTACAGGGAGTCTTGGTTTCCTGAGCGACCGACAATCTCATCTTCCACTCACACCAAAGCAGCAGGACTCTGAGAACCTGAAGTCAGGCTGACAAGGGGAGGAAGAGAAGGAGGTATAAAAGGAACCACGGTACTGCGATTCTTTAATGATGAGGCTGGCACCTGCCAGTTTGCTTCATGGCAGAAACTGCTCGTGAAAGTAGAAATGACCTCGGAAGTGTGGGAATGGGTCTCCCATGCAAATGGCATGGGGAACGAACTTGTCTCCCAACCTCTGGGTCATCTGCCAGAGCAAGACTTCCTGCCCCGCAAGGTCAAGACCAAGGTCACACCTGCAACAGCCTCTAAAAGTGCCAGGTCTGTAGCGTACCCCACTGTCAGGTCCTGGCCGCACCACAAAACAGCCATGCTTTCGTGTCCTGCCTGATGATGGCCACCTCCTCCAGAGAACCCAGAACTCCTCCTTCCCAGCCCAGCCATCTGGCTTATTTCCAGATCTTTGTTCAGCAACCTGTCACTGTGCACACAATCCCACTGGCCACCAAGGACAGAGATCTGCTTGAGGTCCAAGGTGGAGGTGGGCATTAAGAGCTGTGCCCTCCCACGATTATCTGATGTCCCCCTTGAGTGCTTCCTCTCTCCCCACATCCCTTAGGGGACTTCTGAAAGAAAGGGCATGGGGCTGCCCCTTCCCTTGGTGGTTGTTGCTCAGTCACTAAGTCGTGTCCGACTGTTTGTGACCCCATGAACTACAGCAAGCCAGGCTTCCCAGTCCTTCATTATCACCCTGTTTGCTCAGACTCATGTCTGGACTCCTGGTCCCCTTCCCTGGGCTTCCTTTCAGCATCTGCAGGGGGCGGTTATAAGATCTTTCCCTGACCCTGCACAGCGCAGGGCAGGCCACTCAGGGTGACAAGAGGCTGCTGGCTCTGGCTTGTTTTTGAGAGGCTTGGAGTAGGGTGTGTGCCCCAGTGAGAGCTCCCTCTGGCCTGGAGCTCTTTGTGAGGCTCCTGGCCCTTAAAGCAAGTCTCGTTGCTCTCGGAGACTTGAGCTGGCCCAGCCCCATCTGGCTTATTTCAGCAAAGCAAGTAACATCTTCTGATGGCAACAGCTGGGACACATACCTCAGTCTGAGCGCTAGTTTCCTTAATTGTAAAGTAGGTATAAGCATTTCAGAATCTTATGGTTGTCATGAATTAATGTAGAGGACTTCGCCTATGCCTAGTACATAGTAAGTACTCATGAAATGAGTGTTAATATGAGTTGTTTGTGCATCTGAGAGATGCCCTGGGAGGCAGGGGGTGTAGGGCCTTTGCACACCCCTGCTGGGCAGCTTCCCAGCCCTTCTTGCCAGAGCGGGGTGTGGGTTTTGTTTGCCTCTGCAGATGTGGTCTCTCTCTGCCTATGACAAGCCCTTCACTCTCTTTTTCCCGGAGAGGGCCTTGTTCCCTCACTGTGTCTAACCTGAAGGGCCTCAGTCAATAATCCCACATTAGGCCTCAGTAAATAGCAGGGCAGAGATGTGGGGCGTGGAGGGGAGAGGGTTTGGGGAGGGCTGGGTGGGGAGGCTTCCTTCTGCAGGCCCTGGAGGAAAACGGAAGCGGAAGTGTGAGTTCACCATCTGCACTGCTGTTTGTCTGACAAGCCGCCATGGCTGCTTCACTGGGATTTGGATTCTGAGCTCTTGTTCAGAACTGTTCCGTTTTGTGGCACTTACTCAGACTTCAGGGGCTTCCCAGCTAGCTCAGCGGTTAAGAGTCCTCCTGCCAATGCAGGAGATGCAGGTTCGATCCCTGGGTTGGGAAGGTCCCCTGGAGGAGGAAATGACAACCTACTCCAATATTCTCATCTGGGAAATCCCATGGTCAGAGGAGCCTGGCAGCTACAGTCCATAGGTTCACAAAGAGTAGAACATGATTTAGTGACTAAACGGCAACAGCAACAACTCAGACCTTGGTCCCAGGATGAGTGACTGGCCAATGCCTCCCTCCTTAGAGAACATCCATCAGCCGCATGGACACACCCACCTCCCAGAGGAAGGGCCTTATTCCTAAAACGGCCCACCACACCAACGCAGCCTGTTTTCTCTCTTTCTCCCATTAAAGCAATGAAGACTCTTTTGAGTTGGAGAGGAGGAGGTGGGATCAGGAAAAAGTTTAAAAAACTAGATGAGGCCCTGGGTATCTCTTGCTGCCACCATTCCCATGACCACACCCATAGTGTAGAATCAGTGAGTATCAGCACTGAGAGTTCCTTAGAGATTTTCTAGTCCAATTGTGAGTGTGTGTATGTGTGTATGAGTGTGTGCATGTGTGTTTAACATTTTGCTTGTTTATTGAGGTATAATTATGTACAATAAAATTCACCCTTTTTTAGATATAGTTACAAATTTTGACCAGTGTATACAATGATGTAACCTACCACCAGCCAAAAATCCAGAGAGTAATTCTATCATCCCCCAAAGTTCCATCTTGGTGAATCCCCTATTCCCACCTCCATCCCTGGCAGCTACCCCCATCCCTGGCAGCTATTGATCTGTTTTCTGATCCTGTAGTTCTACCTCTTTCAGAAAGACCCATGAAGAGGATCAGACAGTATTGGCCTCTGGAGTCTGGCTTCTGTCACTTTGCACAATTCATGTTATTGCCTAGATCAGTAGTACTTTCCTCAATGTTCTGTTTTTATACATGAAGAAACAGAGGCCCAGGGAATTTCCCTGGTGATCCAGTGGCTCAGACTCTGCTCTCCCAATGCAGGGGGCCCAGGTTCACTCCCTGATCAGGGAACTAGATCCCACACGCTGCTAAGAGCGTGAATGCCACAACTAAAGATCACACGAAGATGGGCGACCCCACGTGCCACAGCTAAGACCTGGTGTGGCCAAATAAATAAATAAATACATATTGAAAATAAAAAAGAAAGAAACTGGGGCCCAGAGAGGCAAGGCCAAGAGAAGGTGGAAGATCCAGGCCTGGTGTCCAAATCCTCACTGCCATCCACCTCTCAGGCCCCTTGGCCACAATTTCTTCAGTACAAAGTTATCTCTTTAATCCCCCAAAGTCCATGAGCCCCTATATGAGGAAGCACATGGTCGCAGAACCGGCACCATGAAGACAATGCATGATTCCTCACCGCACAGAAGCAACTTAGTACTAAGTCGCTGCAGTCGTGTCTGACTCTTTGCGACCCCATGGATTTAGCCTGCCAGGCTCCTCTGTCCATGGAATTCTCCAATTCTCCAGGAAACAATACTGGAATGGGTTGCCATTTCCTCCTCCAAAAGAAGCAGCTTACTTGGAAACAAAGGGAAGCATTAGTACGTATTGGAGCCAGACACCATTGATTCACTGGGCAAAAAGTGCTTCATAGACCTTCTGTCTGCATGCATGCTTAGTCACTCAGCTCAGTTGGGTCCAACTCTTTGCAACCCTTTGGACTGTAGCCTGCCAGGCTCCTCTGTCCATGGGATTCTCTAGGCAAGAATGCTGGAGTGAGTTGCCATGCCCTCCTCCAAAATTCTTCCTGATCCAGGGATCAAACTTGAATCTTCTGTGTCTGCTGCATTGCAGGAGGATTCTTTGCCTGCTGAGCCATCAGGGAAACCCCTCATAGATCCCCTACCAAGAGGCAAAAGATCTCTATAGACATTCCTCTGAAGAAGATATACAAATGGTCAACCAGTATCATGACAAGAAAAACTCAGCCTCATTAGCCATCAGAGAAATGGAAATCAAAAACACAATGAGATGCCCCTTGGCACCCACTAAGATGGCTATAACTAAAGAGACAGATAATAACAAATGTTAGTGAGGGTGTGGAGAAATTGGAGTTCTCATAGACTGTTGGTGGGGATGTAAAATGCTGCAGCCACTTTAGAAAAGTCTGGTACTTCCTCAAAAAGATAAACATGGAGTTGCCATGTGACACAGCAGTTCCACTCCTAGGTATGTACCTAGGAGAAAAAACTATAGCTATACAAAAATTTGAAGACTAATGTTCATAGCAGCATTATTTACAATGACCAAAAAAGTAGAAATAATATAAATTGATAAATGTCAACTGATAAATGCATAAACAAAATGTGACATATCCATACAAGGGAGTATTATTTGGCTATATAAAGGAACACAGTACTGATACATAATACAGTGTGAATGAGCCTTGAAAAACATGCTAAGTGAAAAAGCCAGTCACCAAGGACAATTTCATTTAGATGGAATGTGCGGAATAGACCAATCTATAGATACAGGAAGTAGATTTGTGATTGCCTAGGTTTGGGGGGTGGGTGGTGGTCACTGCTAATGGGTATGGGGTTTCTATTAGGGGTAATGAAATGTTCTAGAATTGATTGTGGTGAGGTTTGCACAACTCCAACTCTGTGAATATACTAAAGACGATTGACTTACACACTTAGTTGAGTGAATTGTATGGTATATGAATCATATTCCAGTAAAGCTACTGGGGGAGGAGGGATGGGGAGGAGAGGAAGGGAAAGAGGAACAAAGGGAGGTGAAATAGCTGTAGAGAAGAGATCCAAGCCTGTTTTTCTAAGTCAGCAAGAGAATATGTAAAGTAATTAGCCTCCAACTAATAAAAATAAATGGAAAAAAAAAA